ACTTCAGCCCAGAAAGCTGAGCTGCAGTTATCAAGAGGAAAAAGGTAAACGTTTACATGTTTTTACGATTGTACGTGCTTATAGTGCCACTGAAAGGTGTCTCCTGACAGCAGGAGATAAGAATATTAAGTGTGCCACTGAAATGATGGCCTTGATGTGGGCTGTGGCTGAGCCCAAGCAGGTGGCCAACATGGTAAAAAGAAGTCAGGCCACTGGCAGAGCTGCTAAGAAGGCCAGTGTTCTCTAGGCCTCGATACCCTAGCTAGATTTAGACCTCCTTTATAGCTAAAGACTGGGACTCTGCCATTGGGATGGCACAGCTAAGTGGACACAGAGCTATCATGGACTTGTTCTCCAACTTGAACCTTTGGTTTGGCCTCCCTCTTTTGAGGCACCTACACACATTAGAGGTGTGCTCGCCTTAATGGATTTGGTGAGACTTCATCCTGTGTGCAACAAACTGTTTGTATGCTCGAGGTGGTCCAAGGACAGAAAGGCAACCCGCTGCACAGGGAGCCCAACATCTGGGGTCCCAATCCTTTTGATGATTGACAGTTTCACTTGGTATTAGTAGATATCTTTTTAGGCTGGGAATGGACAGAGCATCTAAAGCTCCAAGATGGGCCCCTACCAGGAGCTGCTGGCCCGGAACAGGGCCTTTGTTGAGTTCCTATACCAGCACGGAGCAGGAACAAGGCTCGGAGGACGACAGGATGATGGACATCAGCAGTCCAGGGAAAGAGGCCAAGCAGGTAGAAGATGGCATGCTGGTGATGGACACTGGACAGGCAGCTGCAGAGACAGCTCAACAGCTCCTCCTCCTACAGTGAGGATGTCAACAAGCACCACAGCAGCATGGCTGAGCTACAGAAATCTGAGGCCAAGAAGGAAAAGACCTGGAAACCAACAAGGCTCAGACAGCCCCATTGTCAACAGGACCCAGGAGCCCAGGGAACCTGGGTACTTCACAAGGTGTCTACTCCATGGCAGTGTTGCTTCCTGAGGTCTGCACCTTGATCTCCTGCACAATGTCCTGTGGCCGCCCATGAACTGCAAGTGGAGCCTCAGTAGGAACCTGGTGAGCCTTTTCCACATGGTGGACTCAATGGTCCCACAGGTCATCAAGATGTTCGCAGGCTCCCCTCCTCCATACAAAGCGAAAATGGACACGCTTTTGAATCAGAGATAACTCAGCAAGTAAACAAAGTCTACATCAAGAATACGATGCAGAAAAGTAGAATAGTGTATTGCTGTTTGTCCCCCTCTGGAGAAGGATATCCCTCAGAAGCAAGCTTGAGTTAAGCCCCTAAGAAAGAGTTTATGAGAGACCCTTCCTAGCACCCCAACGTAAGTATGGCAATATAACCATGAGTAAAAAAGAGGGTTAAAGCAATATGCCCAATGAGTGGGTCAGGCACTACCCGTTATATATGAGTTTGTCTTTTTCAGGTCTCCATCCCAGTTGGAAACAGAAGTAGAACAGACCCTATGAAGTGCCTCTAAGAGCTCACCCCTCCTTGAAGTTGTCAGAAATGAAACCTTGGGTCTATCATACCACAGTAAAGAGGTGTCCCATGGAGGAAGAGAACCAAGCCCCCAGTGGAGGGGCCAGCCTTAAGGCCATCTAAAGTAACTGTTTAAGGAAGAGGAAAAATGAAAATGTTAACATTTTTTTTGCTAACTCTTCTTTGATTATTTGTTCTGTCTATAGGACAGAGAGACAACTCCTTAGTGAGAATTTCCCCAAGCTGTCACCTCTTCTGTTGACCTGTATTTGTCATCTGTGTGATCTCTAAAGTTGCAGAAGCTGGTCTCTCAGATCACCTACAGGGTGCTTTCCTGCCCAGCCCTGTATCAGGCATTGTCTACAAGGCGACAGTCCGTTTTGCCTTGCCAGTCCTCGCTGTTGTAGTTATTGCTTATGATTTTTCTCTTCTGTTGTTGTAAATCTTCTGCCAAAGTTTTGCAATGACATACATAAGTATAAACCTTCCATCTAAAACATCGCCCCCACTTCAGCAGGAAGTAGTCTGATGACTGCATCACCCCTCTTCCCATAGGTATGGAAGCATAAAATTGAGAGTGGGGAATATGTAGCAGGGAATGGCCTGGGGGAAAAAAAAAACCGCAAAAATATTTTCTGTCTCTTTGAAACTTCCCCCACTCTGTATGAGAAGTGAAAACTGCCTCCCTGTTTCAGGCCAGTGGTAGGCAGTAGCAGGGAGAAGACCTTTTGTTCCTATTTCAGGTGGCACCAGACCCCCAGGTGGGCAGCTGGTGAAGTTCACAGGCTTTGTCTTTGGCAGAGATGGGACGATTACAATAGTTAACCACAATAGCCTAGAACTGAGGGGCCCTCCATTTAAAAACTCTGTATTTCTGCCTAGGTGCAGGAAAAAATGGATTTTCGGATGATAGTCTGCCTTTTTCCTCCTTTGCCGGGAAAATAATGAATCTCTTTCCTTCTCTTCAACTACTTGTCCTTATTCTTCTGATTTGGCCTCACGGACAAGTGCCGAGCTTTTGGTAACAGCCATGGGCTGAAGCCTGGACTCTGCCAACCCAGGTCAAATCAAGATATATCCAGACACTCCTGGTGCTATTTATTATACAAAGGCAAATCAGTTGGGTAATGCAACTCCTCAACCTGGAGACCTTGACCTCTGCTGATTCTAAAAAACAGGAAGAAGGTCTGGGCTCAGCACCCCGAGGTGTGGCTTTGCAATGATAAGGTGGGGCTGTTCTGCTTTCCGGCGGAAATGTTTACTAGCTGGGTGCCAAGCTGCTCACAAAGCACCGGGACACACGCTTCAGTGTCCCTTGGAGCATGGCAAGATGAACAGTGGGGCTCAGGAAGCCCTCAAAACCATGAAAGGCTAGGAAGGGTGCTTCCTGGCCCAGGTCTAATGTCTCCCCCTGGCAGACACAGGGGCCCCACCCATCCTGAGAGCCTGGGCCTGGGCCCCACACCCGAATGCCAGGAAAGTTTGCCCCTGGGTCTGCAGGCAGGCTCTGGGTGCTGGGCTGGCGGGGGCCTGCATGAAGGTGTGTGTACCATGTGTGGTATGGTCTGCACCCGCTGCAGCACCAGCCCTTCTGGTCCTGTGCCCCTCACCCCGCCTCCCTTGGCCACACCTGCCGTGAGTTTCCTCTGGGTGTCGTTTTCTTTCTGCTCTGGCCAGCTGGGGTTGTTGTCAGTGGTTGGTGTCTTAGGGCCAGGAGAGGTCTGAAGAGACGAGGAACCCGGAAGCCCAACCCCTGCCTTGCCTCTCCCCTAGCCCACCTCCTGCCAGCCTTGCAGCCCAAAGATTAGGAGTCCAGGGGCCCAGGAGTCCAGAGCCCAGGAGAGGGAAGAATCTGAGGAACACAGAACCGTGAGTGTCACCCACACTCCATCCCCCACCCTCCTATAACCACTCCCAGGCCCTGGGCCCCACCCCAGAACCCCCACATAACCTGACTTCTTCCAGTGTCTCCCAGTCCCCTCCTGGCCCCTCACTCCCATGACTTTTCCTACCATTCCCTTCCCCGACCTCCAACACCATGTATTGGCAGATGCCCTGGGGTTTCCAAAACTGGGTTCTGAATGCTGAATAGGAGTTTATCAAGCCAAGAGGAGTGATCCCAGTGGGAGTCTCACAGTGGGAGATGGTAGGGGACAAGGAAAAGCAGACCACTGTTCTCTGCCTGCCTGATGCCCCTCACTACACATCCACCTCCCCTGCGCCCTGAACATCCCCCAGGCCCCCAACTCTGGGTCAGAGATGGCCAGCAGAGCCCACTTGGGCTATTACTTGGAGCTACTGAAGGAGGAGAAGCTGAAGGAGTTCCAGCTTCGGCTGCACAATGAAGCACTCTTCCGGGGCTCTTCCGGTGCGATGGCAATTCCACCAGAGAAGATGAGTGGCATGGAGGTGGCCTCACATCTGGTGGCTCGGTATGGGGAGCAGCAGGCCTGGGACCTCACCCGCCACACCTGGAGGCAGATGGGCCTGAGCTTGCCCTGTGCCCAGGCCCAGGAAGAGGAGGCCTTGTTGTTAGGTGAGAGGACAAAGGGCCCCTCTGCCTGCTATAGTCTGCTGGCCCTGTCTACTCCCCCCAGGGACTCCACCACCACCAATGAACCCTCTCTTCCAGGTGAAGCTCTGGGCAGTGACTTGGGACCACCCCATCAAAGGGCGGATCCAGGCCCCAGACTAATCTGGAGCTGGGGCACCCTTGCTGAGTCCCAGAGCCCCACCCCCTCTTCTATTCATGTGCATTCCCAGGCCCCCTTGTGGTCCTCACAGTGCCTGGAAGGGGAATGCTGGGAAAGGTGGGTGTGGGCTTCGGGCCCTGCTCCCAGGGGAGAGCGCTTGCCTGGCATTGTAGTTACAGGCACAGACTTGGGAATCAGGCAGAGGCAGGTTCCAGCCCTGGCACTACCACCATGAGCAAATCACTTTACCACTCTCTGCCTCTATTTCTCCATCTACAAAGTGGGAGAGGAAGAGCCCACCTCTTTGGGCTGTGTGAGGGTTAAAAGAGCTAATCCCTGTTAAACATTCAGCACAGGGTCTGATACGTAGTAAGTGCTCAGTAATTGAGAGCTCTTGCTACTATTGTTGCAGCTGTTGTCATTAGTCCCTTTTGCCCAGCAGTGTCTATCAGAGCATCACTCTTCAGAGGAGCCCATGGAGGAGACTGCGGAGGGCAGCAGTGGGTTCACTGGTTTCTCCTGACTGCTTTTGGTTGAGACAGAAGACCTGCTTAATACCAAGAACCCTGGCCTCAGTCTCCTGGCTCCTATCCCCGCCACTCTGACACATCCCCAACCTTTCCATCTCCTTCCTGCAGATGACTTCCCCCCATTCCTCTCCTCCCCAAGTGCTCCCAACCTGGGGTCCCCCAGCCAGCCACCTCCACTGCTGTGCTGAGGTTCTGTCGCTCTGAGTCCCTGGGGCACCCCAAGGTCTCAGAAAAGAGAAGGATTTCAAGATGGCTTCCTGATGCATCTGGACACCCATTCGGAGGTGAGGCTTGCTGAGCTGGGCTGAGAGCCTGGGGTACGGCTGTGAGTCAGCCAGTGGGTGTCCACCTGAGCGAGTGTGTACCTGCATGGGGACCTGGAATGGGGGACAGCAGAGGAAATGTGGAGGAGGCAGGATTGGGTGGTGAGAGCAGCAGGCCTCAAAATATCTTTCAGGGACCTGCCAGTGCTGAGATTATATCCCTCCCCATCTGACGGATGGGGAAACTGAGACCCATGTAGGTCAGGTAGTAGGTCTCACCCAACTGGGTACCATGTGTGTCATGGTCCTTGCCTCAGCAGAGTTCAACTCACAATCCTTGGGGTCAGGGTGGTCCAGATGTACAAGAGGACTCTGTTCTCCAGATGGGCCCCAAGAGGGAGCCAGGCTCATTTCTCAGCCCAACCCAGTTTCCTCACCAGACTTCTCTTATTTTGGTCTCTGACATCCTGAATCACCCCGGCTGCAAACCTCAGCTACACCCTTGTCTCTTCCTCTGTTCATGACAGCATCAAAGTTGTCACCTCTTCCCAAAGCAGAAGGTCCAGAGAGAGCAGCTCATTTGTCCAAGCTCCCACAGCATTTAGTAGCAGAACAAGGGCTAGAACCTGGAACAATCCATTCCTGGTGCAGTGATTTTCTCCTCACCCTGCTGCTGCTTTGTGACACTCCCCACCTTGCCCCTTTCTCTTTCCCTTCCTCCTGCGTCCATTCTCACCTCTCCCACCCCAAGGCCCATGTTCCTCCCACTGCATGGCAAGAACACACCGATGTCTGCAGCCAGTGCAGTGTGTGGCTTGGAGTAGGTGCCTAAAATAGTTATTGAATGAATGGACAAGTCTATTCTATACCTTTCTGTTCCATCCTTCCCTCCCTTAGGAATGAGAGAAAGATACCAGAACAAGAAGAGAGAGAACCCCTGTTCCACACATTCCTGGGAAAATGAGAATTTGTACCAAAAATTCACACAGCTGCTACTTTTACAAGGACCTCACCCCAGAGGCCGTGAGTCCCTGGTCAGGGGAAGCTGGCATCACGACATGGTGGAGAAGCAAGGACGTTTGATTGAGATCAGAGACTTATTTGGCCCAGGTCTGGGAACCCAAGAACCTCGCCTAGTCATACTGCACGGTGCTGCTGGAATTGGGAAGTCAACACTGGCCAGGCAGGTGAGGAGGGCTTGTGAGGAAGGCCAGCTGTACAGAGACTGCTTCCAGCATGTCTTCTACGTCAACTACAGGGAGCTGGCCAAGAAGCTGAGTCTCACTGAGCTCATCACAAAAGCCTCGGCAGCCTCTCGGGCTCCCCTTGGAGAGATCCTATTTAACCCAAAGCAGCTGCTTTTCATCCTGAATGGTGTGGATGAGCCAAGATTGGTCTTGAAGAAGCAGAGTGCCAAGCACCGTGTGCACTGGAGCCAGTCACGGCTGGCTGGGCACGTGCTGCTGGGCAGTTTGCTGGGGAAAACCATACTTCCCAAGGCTTCCTTGCTGATCACCACTCGGACGACAGTTCTGCAGAAGCTCATTCCTTCTCTGGAGCAGCCACGGTGGGTGGAGGTCCTGGGGTTCTCTGACTCCGGCAGGAAGGAATATTTCTACAACTATTTCACAGATGAAAGCCAAGCAATTAGAGCCTTTGGCTTGGTTGAGTCAAACAGAGCAGTCTGGACCCTGTGTCTCGTGCCCTTCGTGTCCTGGCTGGTCTGTTCTTCCCTGAAGCAGCAGATGGAGCAGGGGGAAGAACTCACACTGACCTCCCAGACAGCCACGGGCCTCTGTCTGCGCCACCTCTCCCAGGCTCTCCCAGCTCAGCCCCTGGGGCCCCAGCTGAGGGGCGTCTGCTCCCTGGCTGCTGAGGGTGTCTGGCAAGGAAAGAGCCTTTTCAGCCCAGATGACCTCAGGAAGCACGAGTTAGATGAGGCCATTATCACCACTTTCTTGAAGATGGGTGTTCTTCAAAAGCACCACACCTCTCCGAGCTGCAGCTTCACCCACCTGTGCTTCCAGGAGTTCTTTGCAGCAATGTCCTGTGCCTTGGGGGATACGGAGGAGAGAGGTGAACATCCTAACTGCATCGGAGTTGTGGAAAAGTTACAAGAAGCATACAAAAGCCATGACGTGTTTGGGGCACCAACCACACGTTTCCTATTCGGCCTTCTAAGTGAGCAGGCGGGGAGAGAGATGGAGAGCATCTTCAACCGCCGGCCGTGCCTGGAGAGGAGGCGGGAGCTGCTGCAGTGGGCCGAGGCGGAGGCCCAGGGCCTGCAGGCCCCGCTGCAGCCACGCTCTCTGGAGGTGCTCCACTGTTTGTACGAGACTCAGGATGAGGAGTTCCTGACACAGGCGATGGCCCATTTCCAAGGGACGAGCGTGTGTGTCCAAACGGACGTGGAGCTCCTGGTGTTCACTTTCTGCATTAAATTCTGCCACCACGTGAAGAGGCTTCAACTGAATGAGGGTGGACAGCACAGACCCACGTGGAGGCCCCCTGGGGTAGTCCTGTGAGTATCCGCCCCCTCCTCTCTCCAGCCCCTCTATTCGTCCCATGGGCCTGAATGTCCTGAGCACCGAAGGCACTGTCACTGGGCCTGCTCACCAGTGACTCCTAACTGCACAGTCTGACCACTGTTCTCTGTCCATGGTGGGACAAGTCCTGCTGGTTCCAGAGAAGCCTGGTGGGGCCCTGCCTTGAGCTGCGGCCCTTCTCCGACCCCGAGGACGGCCACCCGCCTTCTCTCCTGGACGCACTCCCCCTTCACACTGACCTTAGCTGCCCCCACACTCCCTGAGGATCCCACAGCCCACCTGCCCCTGCTCCTCTCTCCACGTGCTTTCTCTCTGAGCAATTGCTCACTCAGCTACTCCAGGAACCCCCTCAATGACATGAACATTGGCCCTGAGATCTTCCCCCACCACCTCAGAATCAATTTCTGAAAGGAAGCCCCCTATTTGTCTCTCAAAAACTGACTTCTTTGTTTGTGTCAGTGGTGCCACGATTGTCCCAGGCAGTCAACCTGAAACCCACCCTCTGAGCACCCGACAACATCTTTCGCTAATCATCCTCCAGCCCAGCAATGCTGAGAACTTCCCCATCCGGCTTCCCCTGCCTCTGTTGCACTGTTGACCATAGTATTGGGATGTGTCTATCTCCCCCTTTAGATGGCTCATTCCATAAATACTTATTGAGCACTAATTTTATGCCACGCCTTACACATCACAGATTAAAATGCACAATCCCTGACCTAAGGAGCTCAAAACCTGGGGGAGAAAACAGACATTCACCCAGTAATGACAGTAGAGTATGATGCCTTATTAAGGTACGAATACATTATTATGTGTATTATGTATTACCGTCAAGGTTCTATGGTGGCCAATGGAAGGGAGTGACCACTTTCCTAAGGGACCAGAAAAGAAAAAATTCTCAGAGGAAGAAATGTTTGATCTGAGTCTTTTATTTTCAGATTTTTCAAGTTTTCTCTCACAATAAAACTCATGTTCATTGTAGAAAAATAAGGACAGATAAGTAAGCAAAAAGATGAAAAGTAGCATCAACTAGAATTCCATCACTCAGAGATGACTACCGTTAAGAACTGATGGCCAGTTCTCAGAAGTCTAACACTGTTTTTTTCTACGCACATTTCTGTGGCAAAATCGAAAAACACCATACATTTTATTTCACATCAGCTTTATTTTCTTCATATCTCAAGGTTACCTTCCTGCGTTAGGTAGTCTGATACAACACCCTTTTGAATGACCACATGGTTTTCCAGAGGGAAAGTGCCATGGAAATTTGTCCATTTCAATATTGTTGCCCATTTTAGGTTGTTTCTGGTTGTTCATGGCTATAAACATGAAGTAAGGCTGGGCTCAGTGGCTCATGCCTATAATACCAGCATTCTGGGAGGCCAAAGCAGGAGGATCACTTGAGGTCAGGAGTTCGAGACCAGCCTGAGCAAGAGTGAGACCCCATCTCTACAAAACAATAGAAAAATTAGCCGGATGTGGTAACAAGCATCTGTAGTCCCTGCTACCCGGGAGGCTGAGGCAGGAGGATCTCTTGAGCTTAGGAATTTGAGGCTACAGTGAGCTATGATGACACCACTGCATTCTAGCTGTGTCATAAGCAAAAATAAAATAAAATAATAGAAAATAAAATATGTGAAGCAGGCCATGAAGGACCTGGATACTGGTGTTGCAAGTGGCAGTGGCCTGATGTGGGGCCTTCACAAGAGTCCTGAGCAGGCACAGAAGCAGAGGCCGGATGTGGGGCATGAGGAACCAGGAATATCAGGCCAGACCAAGAGAGC